AAAATTCAACCCACAACCGAAAAAATAAAAAAAAAAAAAAAAAAAAAAAAAGTGACGTCAAGCGCAGCGCTGTCGTCGATGTAACCGTGGGAACGGGTAATCACTGTGACTCTCTTTAGAAGGAGGAACGTACAGTACCAATGCGCAAATTGATAGTGTTTTAAGTGTTCGAAAAAAAAAAAAAGAACCGGCTGGGTACTCGGGAGTCACGGCTGCCAAGCGCGACATTGTTCACACAGATGGGCTGCGTGATAATGAAGAGAACACAATGTGAAAAGAAAGAAAGAAAAAAAATGGAATAAGTTTTGAACACAAATGGCGGCAAGCAATGCTGGGGGACCGTTCGTGCCTTCGCACCTCCTCAAACATCAGCACAGAAGTGACGGACGTTCTGTTCGTGTTGGTTAAGTTAGTGGATGGCTGGGGGGGGGGGGGCCGCTTCTAAGAGCCAGGATTTATTCGCTCGTCCCTCTCAGGCAGGTCCCTCCGAAGACCCACATGGATAGCTAAGTGTTGCTTCCACAGCCTGATGTGGGTTACTCGATTAACGAGACGGCACGAAGTGGGCATTAACTCATTCAGTACCAGCCAATTCTGGACCAAGTCTGAAAAGTCTTTGGGAGTGAATGAGTTAAGTCTCAAATACTACGTTGTCCATCCAAAGCTGGCTTTTTCTCGGCACACTGCGCTGTGTAGAAGCGATCAATTGACCATGGTGGCGTTGAAGTTGACACGCAAATTTTCCAGCTTCCGACAACCTGGATTCATTCACTTGTCCCTCAGGGGCGGAGCTGCGCGATCAGTCTCCGGCCAGTCTAACCAGCAAAGAAAAAGGCATTATCTCGTCAATTAAGCTCAACCAAATGTTGCTTTTTACTGACTGATTGCGTCGGACGTGGGAAGCCAACAACAAAAGAAGTAAGGTTGTTAAAAAAACACTCCCTCCTCTGATACGAACGATACAGATACCACTTCGGATACCTAACACCGATACCTAACACCGATACCACGAGATATACTTTTCCGTTTTTTTGTTCTTGACCAGACAACCTGGAATCATTTCTTGTGTATTCTGTGTAACTGTTGTGATTCACGATTAAAAGGTAACAAAGCACACTCAAACCCGTTATTCTCAAAGATGAAATGTTCCCTTGCAAAGCGCCGCTCTTGTGGCACGGCGGGTAAAGAGAAGTAAGCGATGGTGCGATAAATAAACTCTTCATGATGACAAGCAGCGGGCAATCAACAATATCTTTCTTGAAAAAGGGGATGACCTACGACCAGACGTAATCACCCCCCCGCCAAAAAAAAAAGTTTTGTCTGAAAGGCACATGTGGGGAAAAAAATGGCTCTACCCTCCTGAGATGAGTTCTGAACAGAAATAATAAAGTTTGGAAACAAGGTTGGATAAAAGGCTTTGCAAGCGGCATTTTCTGGAGTAAAAAAAAAAAAAATAGGTGGCCAACTGTCATTTCAGCAAGGTCACGTTGGAATTTTCTTCCTCCCTCACACAAAAGGCAAACTTCCACGCCTCATTCAAGGCCCGACATTTTGAGCGGGAAGATTCGTGGATTATTTATCGCCAAATGTCAAAGGCAATAAGGGCGGTGCTGTTTTGGTTCGCAACAAAATCTTGGTGGGCCGGGGGTGGGGAACAATAATTTTGTTATTTTTATGTCTTTCTGTCATGATGATGATGATGATGATGATGGTGTCCTGTACGTCTG